CCCTCGGCTCAAAATCGTCGTAGAAAGCTGATTCTTGGCTCATTTTGAAGGAAAAATTTCAGATTTTTAAATAATCGATAGGACTATGAGAATCTAAAATTAATAAAAAATTTTATAGAACATTTTTGAAACAGCAATTTTTGGGGATTTTCTTATTTCACAACACTAAATTTATTAAGAATTTGATTGTTACCCTTTTTTTGTAATTTTTCGCAAAGTTTCTTAAAATCAGTTTTCGCCGAATTTTGAGTTTTCAATTGGCAGTTTTTTGTATTTTTTTTTGAAGTTTTGGGATTACGGTTTTTGAATGATCTGATATAATGAAAACACTTAGAATTTCCTACAAATCCCTTCTGAAATCAGCTCTCTACGATGATTTCGAACCAAGTTATGGCCATTTGAAGTTTTTGAGAGACGCAGAGAAACGAGACACGCTGCGTCTCTAACTCAAAACTTCAAACGACCGTAACTCGGATTAAAATTGTCCTAGAAAGCTGATTCTTGGCTTATTTTGATGGAATTTTTTTAGATTTTTGGGAAAAAAATCGCACTACAAGAATACCATCTTTTTCATTTTAAATTTGTTATAGAACATTTTTGAAATAGAAATTTTTCTTGTTTTCACAACACAACATTCATACGAAAAAAGGATAACAAAGGATTTTAGACCTTTTTCGAATTAAAAAAAAAATTAAAATTGGAAACCTATATAAAACATAGACTTTATTATGTCAGCAAAAAAATCGTAGATTCAGAAGACCGAGAATTTCAAGAAACAGGGAAGATTTTCAAAAAAAAAACCAGGACACTGGAGCGATACAAATTTCCAGGGAGAATTTCAAAGAAAAAGAAGAAAAAGAAGATCATTGGGACATGACATGGGCAAGATTACGGTATTTTGCTCATCAAATAAGACCAGGTTCACTGCTGACCCCGCGCATTTCTTCTATTTTCATATTCAGCCCATGTGTAAGTTTGTCCATTCATAATCACAAAATTTCCCTCTCCTAGCTGTCGCAGATCCTGTGGAGGTAGAGGCAGTATGGGCGGAGCCTGTGGGGGCGGAGCTTGAGCATCCCACATCGGTTGCTGGCGCCCAGGAGTCCTCTCAAAAACCCTATGCATTTGCAATACTAGCTCGACTTCACGTGCGCGTTGCTGTTCTGCTGTCAGAGGGGGCGGTGCCTGCTGTCGGGGCGGAGCCTGTTGAGCCGCTCTCCTCATTTCCTCTGGTGTATGCATCTGTCTGTGGATTTCATCGTCAAGGTCAGGCTCCGGAGCTGCTGGAGGGGGCGGAGCTTGAGCAGCACCTCTTCCCGTTTGCTCTGGCGTAAGCATCCATCTTCTCCAATATTGCGCTCCCAGAGTTGATGGGTGGGGCGGAGCCTGTTGTGGAGGCGGAGCTTCTTCTGGTTCTTTGGGTCCTTGGGAGACTTTGGGACGACACTCGGGAGCCTTCACCATATTACCCTGAA